CATATTATATAGGAGCAATGAACTGCACAAATGCAGCCAGTGAAATCTCTTTTCCCATGTTCATCACATTCATATTGGTACCCAAGTCACAGGAGTAAGACCTGAATAAGTATTACCAAAAGGAGACACAGAAATCAAAAGACCAACACCTGCACTCTGCTCCCTGTCTGCCAGTCCCAAATGTTCCAGCCAGGACGTGGGGTTGTGTGGACACACTGATCTGTTCTGGGCTGCTCTCTGTCTTGGGGGCTTTCAGCAGCCTTTGGAAGGTGTCACAAATGGGTGAGATCACAGACACCTGCAGGCCAGGAGAGGCACATCCTAGTCCTGTCAGACAGAATGCAGGCTTTGAACATTCATTAGCAATACTGGCTCTATACCCTGCTGTGATACCCAGCTTCCATTTGCTACCTTCAATTAATAATTGAAGGTATTGGCTCCCATTGTTCCCAACTGCTGTTCAGGATCCTCGATAAATAGATTGATACCCTGGATTAACACAGCACAGCCTGAGCATCCCCAGACCCTTGACTGGTCTAAGGGACTGACACAAAAGCTCCCTTCACATTTCTGAAACTCCTGAGACAGAACATGGTTTCTCTCCAACACTGAAAAGCTACCAAAGGATGAGAGCAGCACATGAAATATTCACAGGGCAAACAGACACGGAGCCAAAGTAGATCAGAACAGAACTCCAGGCCTGCCCAGACCCCAGGAAGACTTCACAGTTTGCACTCACATCGAGATCTTATTGCGTTTCTTATCCCAAGTGCCAACAAGGTGCCGTGCTGGAGATCAATTCAACATTACCCCAGCAGGACCAAAGCAGTGGGTTCAAAATCTCCACACCAAACATACAGACTTGCTGGAGACTCAGCAAAAGCTTCACACAAACTGTGTGGCTTTGACAGACTGGCCACAGGACAACAAAAGGCAGTGGTCTGGTTCATGCCACTTTTATGTCTCAAACACTGGAGGATTAATAAAAACATAAAGGAAAAATGTGCAAAATGTTAAGAGCCAAAAAGGCCAGAAACCAATGTGGCATGCAGTCCACAGGAAGACATGAACCCATTGTGATTTATTGCACAAATTTTTTCAAGACAAGAACGTTTGTGTCAGAACAGTGTTTTCCTCACAGGCAAAAAGATTTTCCATTTGGTGTTTGGAGCCTTAAAGTTAATCCATCCTTCTGTTGAACTAAACCAACTCCCCAGGGTGACTTTGGGGTCTCAGCTCAGATGGCAACACCCAGTTCCAGCTGCATCCCTACACTCCAGTGACCAATTGTCACTGTAACCCCAGAAGTGCACAGCTCTCTGAACATCACCCTGTCACTGCACAAACCCTGCAGTACTCACATCTTTCCCTCTTCAGGACTTAAATATTAAATACCACAAGAGTTTAAAGCCTCATTAGCAGTAAATATTCTTCTCTTGCAATTCAAGCCATTTCTTTATCATTTAAATAATCATAAAAGAGTATGTATCCCAAGTAGCAAGATAATTTTTAATTTCTCCTTCTAACTTTCCAAATTCTATCCAAATTTTTTTTTAAAAAATTGCAACTGAAACAACCAAACTTAATAATACTAATTGAATCTGCAGGTGTCAGGGCAGAGGGAAATAAGAATTAGTATTATTATTAGTAGAATTAGAATTATTATTATCCATTAGTATTTCAGGAACATTTGCAAGTGATTTATTTGCATTAAAAGCCACAACAACAGCCAAAGTCCAGCAAATCAGGTTTCTCTGGCTAAATAGAAAAGCACCAAAGGAAAGCTGAAAGATGGAATTGGCTTGTTTGGGGCTGAAGATGAATACTGGAACACACTGAAAACAAACCAGAAGACTCAAAGAAGAAGGCAAAGATGAATCTAAACACCTACCATTGTCTGAGTGATTCCACTTGAAGGCAGAACCCTGTTGCCAGTCTCAGCTCCCACCATGAATCCAGAATGTCTCATGACCCAGCTGCCACAAGAAACTAAAAAATCCTTTATTCAGAGTTTAGTGCAGAATTCTGCATGAAGATTTGTGTTCAGAATGGCCAAACAGCAATGAGCTAAACAATCAATACATGAAATACTTTTTTTTTTTTAATCCCTCAACCTGAAAAGAAATAGTTAAAATCTATTGTGTATTCTCAGTATTCATGACAAATAAGCTGGAGGATCCATCTGGGTATCAGCCTAGGAGATGTGGAACTCTAAATACCACTTCCACTGCACCTGGGTTTCACTCAGCAAAACTCTTATGTGAACTGAAAACAGGTGAGAGAGGATGGAAAGGGTGACCCATGAAATGCACCCATCCTTGACCTGTCCTCTTCCTAAGGATCAACCAGTGCTTTTTCTGCAACTCTCCCTGTCACAGTGACAACTGCAGGCTCCTCTGCTCCAGAGCCAAATGTGCTGTTGCTCCTACCTAGTGAGAGGAGGTCACCAAATATACCATCTACAATTACAGTTTCTTCTGCTAGCTGTAAAAGGTTTCTATTCAAGAGTTGCAATTGTCTTCTCGCTGGAATAAAATGTGAGGTATTTTAGGAAGCTCTTAGAGGAGCTGAGTGGATTGAAGCATTGTTGTGCTAATTAAAGCTTCTTTGATTTTCCAACGCTTAATCTAACACTCTGTGAAGTGAGCATTTTTATAGCAAGGCCAGCCATGGGAGATAATGCAACTCCAAAAGTACCCAGTAGAAGCCTTGAGCACAGAATGTTTCTCATCTGAGAAAGAGCACAAAATCGTGGTGTTTCTGCAGCCTTCTGAGGGGAAAAGACAAAACCCTATTTACTCCTGAGGACTCTGGGTTACTTCAAGAGCCTGTATCTGGCTGTTGCAGCCAGAGCAGACTGGGGACAGCCCTGAATCAGATGTCTGACCTGTTCTGGCAGTCACACCATCTGACTTACACTGCCATCCTGAAGGCACCTGCTCCAGGTGCTGCAGAGGATGGGATGGGCAACACCCTAACACTAGGGAAGGGTGCACCCATCAGAAAAGTTTGGTTTTGCTTTCAGAGCTAAAAGTTGTTTTATGGCTTGGAGAAATTTTAGGATTCACTGAAGAATGAAGACCTGGTTTCTGCGCGGCAAGAGAGTGCATATTCACACCCGAGATCCACAGGATTCCATAAAGCAATTGTTTTGTAGTCACTAATCAAAACAGTACACAAAAACTGATCAACTTCCAAGATTAACTGCCAGATAAATCAAATTTATGTTGAAATCAACAATATTATACAAAGAAGGTAACAGGAAAATAGCACCTTGTTACTGAATGGACTCAGTTCCTCTCTGTATTGAAAGCCTGCTGAATTATTGCTCCTCTTAGAACACACTTGCCAGAGCAGCTGAAGAAAAAAGGAGCTTATTCCATGGATCCTCATGTCTGTTACCTAAGATATATCTGCAGAGACACATTTTTTCCCCTCAGTGTAGGATGCTTTAGAAAGAACTTATATAGGAGGTGGCTTGGTGTAACCAAAGGAAGGACTCAGCATACAACTTTCTTGTAAATTATGCAGTATAAAATACAAGATAGGAGGATTTGCATTTTGGGGTAAAAAATCCCACACATTTACTTTTGAGACTAAGGGATTAACACAGAGATTCAACTAACTCAGTACAAAGTGTTGGTTGGTTGGACTTTTTTGTTGTGTGGATTTTGTTTTTTTTTTTTTTTTTTTAATTGTGTTTTGGGGTTTTTTGTTGTTGTTGTTTTTTGGGTTGGTTGGTTGGTTGGGTTTTTGGGGGTTTTTTTATGGAGTGATTTTAGAGGTCAAAATCATGTCCTAGGACCTGGTCCTGAATGCACAAAGTTTCAACAGGAAATAATAGGAGCTTTGCTAAGAGCAAATGGGAGAAGATTGCTGCTGCAGAGATGATAAACATGCTTTTTTTGGTTTGGGTTGGGTTTTTCTAAACACAAAATAGAGAAATAAAGAAGCAATGAGACTTTAGACACACCTAGAGCCAGCAAAACTCACTGACAGTGATCACCCCCTTGACCACCACAAAGCAGCCAACAGCAGACAAACAGCTTGGACCAGACCCATTTAAGATCACTGCAAATCCTTACTAACAACTCAACAAAACAATTTCAGACAGTTTGTAAATTATATTCAATCAACTGACTAAACACTCAAAGCTATTGATGAACGAGGGTTTAATTGACAAAAGCTTTTCTCGACTAAGAAGTCAGGCAATAAAATCACAGGAGAGGCCACACAAAATGTTCTGCCTCGTGTAAGGCCAGGATATTTTCACTTCCTTTCACCAACGTGTGATCAGCACTCTGTGTGCATCCCACTGTTGGAAACTGCCCCTATCTCCTAAAAAACCCTTCTCTAGGTGGACTCCCAGCACACAACAGCTTTGGCACAAAATAACGAGCATACATGTCATTGCCTCCTTTGTGAACAATGCAACATTGGGACATGGCATGCGTGGCTCTCCCAGCACACTCTGCATGAAACACGCCATGATAAAGCAATTTTCCATGGAAAACAACATCAACTCACTTGGATTTGCTGACATCCAACCCAACCCAAAGCCCATGGTCAGTCACACAATGGTTTGAAACCTGGTTACCAGTCTGCACTCAGATGGTAATGTTAATTAATACCCACAAACCTTTGGAGGGTGCAGTCAGTGCTCATGGCCAGTAGGTTTAACGTGATTTTAAGTTTTGGTGGGACTGAGTGATGTCTCAGTAATGAGTGCAGCACAGTTTGGCCGCAGAACATTATGCAGGGCCAGGTCCAAAGCCTGCACAAACCAAGCCTTTGGATTAATTGCACTGTAAAGCTTGAGTAATCATTTACAAGCCTCTCAAAGCCCACAGCCACATTTCCCACTCACTGCATTGCCATTTCTTATATCACTCAGTAGGAAAACCATCAATAAAGCAACCATCAATTTCAGACAGAAATGGCCAATAGTGACAGCAGAGAAAACAGACTCCAGAAAATAACCAGACAGATTAAAACCTGGGTAAGATCCTTAAAAATTATCTTTAATTGATGCCAAGTATGAACAGATGAACGAGTACAGAAGCAAGTAAAATTGCATAGATGAAAACTATGCATTTCAAATAGTTAAGAACTCATAACATCAGATGTTCTAAAAATGGTAAGTCAAACAATTTCACTATTTGGAAGTAAAATGAGCTGTAATGTGACAATGAAGTACATACTTCACCCAAAGTATAAGCGATTGGTGAATGGTGGAAATAAGTACAGCTGTGTCAGCTTAAATGGTTTGTTGCCCTGATGGTGCACTTTCATAGGGAGACTATTCAGTTTATATCTTTCACATCGGCAATATTTGATCTTTAAAGTCAGAGGTATGTCTGAGAGGCCATTTACAGTTCTATTGACCGCTGTTAGTTATTCATTTCAAACCGACATACTGCAAAAAACACAGTGTTTTACATGTAAAGGAAAGGAAAAAAAATATTTCATCATAGCAGGCTATAGGTAAGGGTTTGCTGAATTTAATAATAAAAATATCATTTTTACTTTTGTACAAAAGTAAAATATACATTTGATCCCAATTACATTATAGAAATGTCATTGAAACAATAACATGGATCAAAGACTGATGCACCTAAAGGAACTGAATGCAACGTCTTCATTTTATTATAGAAACTAGAAATGGATGATGATTTTTTTAATATATAACTTGTAGTGACATTTGCTAGAGCCTGTGAACAGGTGAAATATACAGAATTACACAGATATTAACAGAAACCTTGAGACAAATTTCAGTTAAGACCTCAGTTTCATTTTATTTCCTTTGAAAATATCAAAGCATGCTATACCTTGACAGCATAAATTGTTGACCTCACTGGTGGCAAGTTCACCTGCACTGAGTGAAACTGTAGAACACCCTGAAGTTTCTTTTTTTTTTTTTTTTGCAGATACAAATACTGACTCCTTTAAGAATACTTGATAAGCATTTCAGGAAAAAGAAATTCCCTACACCTGATTAAGTAAAGCCAGAACAGAAAACAGAAAAAGAAACTCAGCCTGAATTAAGTCCAACCAAAACTGAAGTGTAGGTCCCTGATTAAAGAATCTCAGAAAAGGAGCCTGTTCCAGACTTGCAGGAGGCAAGTTTGGGACAAACTTGCCCTGCTGTGCAATTGCAAGGACAGCTTTCGAGTTCCGTCCAGCTCTGCGGCTGCCGAGGCTAAATCACACCTTGGAGCTGACTCTGCGTCCCTGTGAGTCTGAAATTACTCTGAGGATCACTGGCATCAGGCTGCTGGAAGCCTACAGGATCAGACCATTCCTGGAAAAGCTGCAGTACCTCCCTCTTCTTCAGGTTAGGGGAAACGATTAATCCAGAATGGCACCCCTCAAGCAATAGTTATCAAGGTAGCATTTGAAAAGGAATACATTCTCTCCATGTATTGCATATGTATGCAGAAGATTTTGTTCTAAAATACAACTTTCCACCTTTTTCTAATACATTTCTGATGTTCCTGACCTAGTGTTGGTTGTGTTTTGTTTAATAAATGTACATATAAGAAACTGCACTGTTCAAGTGTGGACTGTGGAAAAGTGAAACTCGCCCTCAGCTCCTTAAAATCAGAAGGTTTTGAGGTTCCACTTGGGCTGCAGCTCTCTCACAGTAGAAACTAACTTCCTGTACTTCTGCCTAATGAAAACAATTGTCCCTTGGTATTGAAAAAACCCTGTCAATACAAGTTGCCACTGCTACTGTTGTCAGTTCGGGCACCTGCAGCCTATAATGAATGACACACAGCTGATTTGTTAAGAAGCGTCTGATCTCTGAAATCTCTGCGTGGGCAAAAACCACTGCTGCAAACAAGAGGACTTTGGCTGAATTTTGTCCTGTCTTCAGTGCTTCATTCTGTCTCACAAGTGCTTGTCCATGTGACTAACAGTACATCAGGCTAGCACCTGTGCCGTTCTGTAAAGTGGAAATTAATTTCCTTGGGCCACAATTGTTTTCGGCTTCCTGAAAGGCAGCAGTGGTATAAACCAGGAACAAAAGGAGGGACTCACCAGAACTGGCACCAGGATCAAGTGTTAGTTTCCCCCTCAGTAAGCCAGGCTGTGAATCTGCAGCACTCGTGTACCAAGAGTTTTGGTGCACATGGGCACCCCCTGCACAATGGGGTCACTTCCAGTACATCTAATGATTACTACAGGCTTATCTGTCTGAATGGGCTTGTGAGGCAGATGAGGTAAACTGCATTAAGCCCCATTGTGTTCAGAATTAAAGCAGCCTTAATTCAATTCAGATTACTTCCTTTTCAAAAAGAATGACTCTAAATCAGATTAAGGTTGCTTTAATACTGCAACAGAATGTCCATGCTGGGCTTTAAAGCAGTTTAACAAATCTACTTTAAATGCACACCTTTCATTAATTCGGATTAGGTTTCCTGAAGTCCCCGGTGGAGATAAGGCTTAGGACACCCCATGCAGGGAATCTGTATGGGTTTGCTAGTATGCTGTGAACTCACAGCCTGGCTAACTGCACCCCAGCTTCCTCATGAAGGTGACTAAATCCAGTTCATGGCCTGTGCTGGAGCTGCCACAGAGAGGGTTTGAGCTCTCAGCGGTCTTGCAGAAAGCCCTGGGTTCTGTGAAGGAACAGGGTACAGAGTCCTTCATTTTCACTCTCACCCTTGCCCCTCTGCCTCTCCCTAGCGCTCTAGAGCTAAGTATGGTAGAACCAGATGGGGAATTTTGGCAGGGATACCAGTCTATGGGATTCCTGCCCACTGACTCTCAGCTCCATTCCTGCCTCTGCACTGCAGTGCACTGCTGCCTTGCCCTTGCCAGGTAAATTCCCTCACCCCTTTCCCTGAGTGGATGAAGGAAAAGCTGCACAGGACCAGTTAAGAAGCACAGAGAGGCACAGAGCAGTGGGTGGTGGTGAGGGCATGGGGAATGATTCCTGCTGGAAAAGCTTTCTTCCCCTCAGCAAACTAAAGACTGCCATATCCACTGGGTTCCCTGTCCAGCATAATGTGGGCATCACTTCCAGGAGGTACCTACCAATGGAATTCTTTCAGAGAAGCACTACACTGGCTATCAGCTCATTTCCAGTCCTCTTCCAGTTACATAAAAAACCCCTTAGAGTCCACGTGTAGCAAAAAAAAAACATAAGGGCCAAAAGGAAAAAAAAATATATATAAAAAGAAAAGAAAAAAAGAAATAAATAAATAAAAAAGGGATACTTGCTGATAAGAACAGGCAGTTTGTTAAGTGCACCTTCAGGCCCACAAAGACATTTCAGCACTCCCGTGTAAAGGGAGTAAGAACCTTGTTTTTGTTATTTTTTTGTGTCAAACTTGTCAAAAATGCATGCCTATGCTACATGATATTAATTCCTGTACTCCATATGGGTTGAGATCCTTTGCAGTGAGCTGTAAGTGGACAAAGCAACATTCAGGCTCCCCAAACCATGAGTTCTTATGATCCGTCCCAGTCTCTTGACAAAGAATTGCTGCATGCAGCACTTTTCTCTGTGCATAAGCAGAATGATCATCACTCTGCACATTAAATTAAGGTGTGCACACCCAGCTGTGGCAGAAGGTACCCAAGTGAGGCCTCATCTCCCAAATGCATCCTTCTGATCATCGGTCCCACAGCACTGAATTGATTATTGCTGTTTAGTTTAGTCAGATGGTGGTTTTATAAGCTGAGTGCAGCATTCAAGTCCATTTTGATATCAGAAGTCATATCCTATGATTCAAGAGTTTGGGAAGATCAGGACCGCTGGACTTTAACAGGGAGAGAGGTGTACAAAGGGCAAGGGCGTGAGCAGGGGACAGGAAAGAAGCTTTACAACATCTACCTAGACGATGTAATGCCCTGCTTTATATGATACTTTGCACTTCTTGCAGGAATTGGAGCTCCTTCAGTTCTTGATCTTTCTCATCACTAAGATTCACAGAAGTCACACAGTGAGAAATAAAGTCAAGTCTTTCTGAAAACCTGGCAGGTCAAGCTTGTGCGTAACTGCAGAGTTAGGGTTGGTTTTTAAGTGCTTTGATTTTATTTTATATATACATGTGCCTGCATATGTATGTGACACACACAGGAGCAGACATACATATATATATATATATTTATACACATATATACATATATCAGAAAGATAGGGGAGGAAAGGATCTGTACACCATGGAAGGAGATGTGTTCAACAGCAGTTGGCCACATGCTAAGTGCAGAATGAAGATCCTCAACTTTGTCATTTGAAAAATTAAGATTAGTGCCTATATGTTTGTTCAGATCTTCCAGGGCCTAGCAGTCAAGGCTGGCATGTTGCAGAACATATCTTCTCCTAGCATTGCTTCCCTCACCAGGAAATGATGGAAGTACAGTAAGATCAGAGACCAGGAAGAAGACTATGGCTCAAAGGCTTTGATGGGATCTAAGATCTGAAAGAGGATGGAGCAGACAGGGATGGGAGGGTCTGGCAAAGCCTTTCTCATCTACCTGCTGGGGAACCCAAGGGAAAGAAGAGCACAGTCCTCCAGTCTGGTTGCCTGACTGGGCGATGCCCAGGCTCCCATTCCTCCTGCACCCTGCCCTACAGGGACAAGCTGCCAAAAAGCCACCTCAGGGAAAAGAAGGGCTGATACAGTGATGTCAGTGATGCCTTTATGAACAAACCAGGGAAATCTGAAGCTTTGCATGCACACAACTAGGAGTTATTTGGCAGAAGCTAATGCAGAGCCCTGCAACATGAGCCTAGCTAGGGAAGGAAAGTATTCCACGGGCACCGGTGATCTCTGCCTGCCTCTTCTGCATCCCTCTCACTCACACTTGATCTTTCTATCCTTAAACCTTTCCATGCTGCACTAGTAGACAGCACAGGACACAGGATCCTGACATACAGGACTGACTCCTCGTCCTTTCCCTCGGTGTCTCTGATCCACTCAGTTCCTGGAGGCACTTTCAGCAGTTTTGGGGGGTGTAAGATAAAGGCACTGCGCAACTCTCTCAATCAATCTGCTGGGTCTCTTCAGTGAGTTTTGGGGGGATACAAAAAAGTCTCAACTGATGACTGCAAAAGAAACCAGCTGCTGCAATTCGGATGCATGTAATAGATAAGTTTCATTTACATTCTGAGAATGCACCAAAAAGCATGCATCTGCACCTTTCATCTATAGAGGATACTAGGTTTTTAGCTGTTGCTATATATAACTTGACTTGTTAGTTTTCCATATAGCTTTTCCTTTAAGAGATGGGATATGTTCCCTTCTGACAACACCTGGACAAAAGCCAACACACTTCCCTGAGCAATGCAGGAAACAATCAGGTTTCTCTAATCAGTTAATTCAGGCCCTCAGTCTATCAAGCACTTTTTTTTTTGTTTTTATTGTTATCATTATTGTTGTTATTATTATCATCATCATCATCATTATTATTATTATCATTGAATTCATGCACTAATTAATTCAAGTTACACTTTAATCAAATAGGCCATAATGCTGAATATTTGAACATGCTTTGATCTCCAAAAGTTATTGTTCCCCTTTGACTAACATACGCACTTAAATACAGTACTTTAAATTACTAGTCAACGATTTAATAAATTAAGGAGTGCACTTCTGGTGAATGCAAATCAAAAAGAAAAAGAAAAGAAATGAAAAAAGAGAAGAGAAAGGACCTATTTTTAGAAGATTCAGCTCAAACGAAAGCTTATCCGCTATTGACTGAGGTAACGTTTCAAGCATGCGATCATAAAATAAATAGTATCAAATTCAAACATGCTTATATTAAACTCCATTGTGCTATCTTGCAACAGAGGGGCTTAAAGTTTTGTATCCAGTTCCAAACGGGGAGCGGGGGCAAAGTGTGTTCCTATCACCTGCATGTGAGAGGACTTAGCAGCATTGCAGATGTTTTGTCTTCAGTTTTGTTTGTTATTCTCCTTTTAGGATATTTCTTCTACAGAGAGCAAAAGAGGTTTTTTAATAAGGTGCTGTGTGGATCTGTAGGTTGGAAGGATGGAATCTTTCACAGAGGGGGCGGAAGGAAAATTTGCACTCCTTCATAAACACCATGGCAAATGCTTGCCACAAGTTTTGGCTGATCTTTTTGTACTATTATTAGCTGATGCACTGTCTTGCAACTGTGTAGTTTTGCAGAATATTTTTACTGGAATCCATGCATATGCTTAATAGCTCTAAAAACTGTCTTGCTTAGTTTAAGATAGCTTTATCAAAAAAAAAAAAGTGAAAGAAAAAAAAAGAGGAGATAGGAGAGGAAAAGTTTAGGTCTACATCATAACAGCTTAAAACTAAACTAGTTCAAATGGTTATAATTTGCCAGGTGGAAAATGTTTTTTTTTTTGAAAATAAACAAAATTTTATCTTTCATGGATCCTGGAAGCTTCTTTATTGCAGAGCAAAGATTTGCAATGCAACAATGCATTTACGAGGTAAATAAAGCATTCAAAGACTATCAGTAAAGCATCTACAAAATGTGACTGTGTCACTAAAGTCTTCAAGCTGTGAGTGGGGATTTTGTTTTGGGTTTTTTTTGTTTGTTTGTTTAAACATCAGTCAGCAGCTTGCTTTTATTAACGCAGTTTTGGTTGGCTACAGTGCAGTTGCCAGTTCTGAGATTAGCCTCTCTAAAATTGTCTATGCTATTATTCATATCCTCTTCGATTTCCATGTACTCAGATTTGCTGATTGTGGAGGAGCTGCGGCGACTGAGATCACTGTCAGATGCTAAATTAGGGGAGCTAACGTGAAGTAACTGAGCCTGTTCTTCCCCTTCTGTTTCTCGGTGGTAGAAGTAGTTGAAGTTGGACACGATGACAGGTACAGGCAGGGCAATTGTCAGCACACCAGCGATGGCACACAAGGAGCCTACGATTTTGCCTCCAATTGTCACAGGGTACATGTCACCATAGCCCACAGTGGTCATGGATACCACCGCCCACCAGAAAGCATCAGGGATACTTGTGAAATGAGACTCAGGTTCTTCAGCCTCAGCAAAATATACCGCACTAGAGAACAAAATCACCCCAATGAAGAGGAAGAAAATTAGTAAACCTAGCTCTCTCATACTTGCTTTGAGGGTCTGTCCCAAAATCTGGAGGCCCTTAGAGTGCCGGGAGAGTTTGAAGATTCGAAAGACTCTTACCAGTCTGATGACTCTCAGGATGGCCAAGGAGGTGGCCTGCTCTCCTTTCTGAGTCCCCTCCCGCTCGGCCATCTCAGTGCCCAGGGTGATGAAGTAAGGGATGATGGCCACAATGTCAATGAAGTTCATTATGTTCTTGAAGAAATCAGTCTTGCTAGGGCAAGCAAAGAAGCGCACCACCAGCTCAAAGGAGAACCAGATGATGCACAGGGTCTCCACAACAAAGAAGGGATCTGTGAAGATGTTGGACTTGTAGACCTGGGTGGTGTTGTCAGTGCGGTGCACTGTGTACTCCTTGTCCTCCTTCAGCTCAGGTAATGTCTCTAGGCAGAAGATCACTATGGAGATGAGGATGACCATGACAGAGACTATGGCAATAACCCTTGCCGGCCCAGAGCTCTCTGGGTACTCAAAGAGGAGCCACACTTGGCGCTGGTACTCCCCCTCCGGCAAGGGTCTCTCCTCATCTTTAATGAATCCCTCATCTTCTCGGAACTTCTCCATGGCCTCCTCGCCCAGCTCATAAAATTTTATCTCCTCAGAGAACATGTCCAGGGGGACATTGACGGGCCGGCGGAGCCGCCCCCCGGACTGGTAGTAGTAGAGGATGGCGTCAAAGCTGGGCCGGTTGCGGTCAAAGAAGTACTCGTTGCGCAAGGGGTCAAAGTAGCGCATGCGCTTCTTGGGGTTGCCCAGCAGCGTGTTGGGGAACTGGGCTAAAGTCTTCAGCTGTGTCTCGAAGCGCAGTCCCGCAATGTTTATCACCACGCGCTCACAGCACTCGTGGTCGTCATGGGCAGCGGGCTGGTAGCTATCCTGGGGGTGGCCAGGTAGCGCAGAAGTCTCATCCATGTTCTCTCCAGCCATCACGGTCATGGTGGCACAGAGGAAAGGGACCAAGGGGTAGGGGAGAAAGTGAGGGAAAGGGAGGAGGAGGAGGAGGATGGAGAAGCACAGATAGACCCAGGGCAGTTCAAGGTGGGGGAGGTTGAGGGGGTTGGGCTGGGGAGCTTGAGGAAGGGGTGGAAGGGGAGCCTAAAGGATGGAAATACCCAAAAGGGGAAAAGAGAGGCGGGATGAAGGGAGAGGCATCAGGGATGATGGGAGGGTGAAGAAAGAGGGAAGAAGTACCTTTAGGGGGGGCAGAGGGCAGGTAAGGTGAGGGGTCCTGTCCCCCACACCGGGAGGCTGAAGGTCTATGGAGTGCACCCCCAGGCTGGAGTTCCCCTCCCCAGCTGTCTCCTTTAGCCTTTAACTCGATCCGTCCACTTTTCTTGCCGGCTTCACCATCGCTGCAGCTGCTGCCACGAAGCTACCACACACACACACACGCACACGCACATACACATAAAATAAATAAATAAATAAATCACGGGCTGGCTGGGAGGCGAGTCCTTGCAATGCCAACTCAGCAAATTTCCATCACCTGCCTCTTCCTTCCCCCCTCCCACCACCACCACCACTGCCCTCGTCCTCTCCTCTTTTGTGCTGGGGAGGGAGAGAGGGATGGAAACACTCTGCTTTGAAAGCATAAAGCTCACTTGCAGGATGGAGGCTGCCAGGGAAGAGAGAAACAGAATAAACCAGCCCCCAAGCCCCTCCACATACACACACACACTCAGGCGCAATGGATTGGCTTTCACATCAGCAGGAACATCCCGTTCTGCCCACTACAGCAGTATATGCGGAGTTCTACGCGTTCCTACACATCCCTGGACATGCACCAGGGCCTCCAAGGCAGGAAGGTGCCCCGAACTCATCGGGAGGGCTTCCCGGGAAACTTCAGCGGGGTCAGCTCCTGCAAAGGAGGCTCTCGAGCACCGCGCTCCCTGCTGTGGAGACTTAGCTGAGCACTGACAACTTCATCACACCGACTGGAGGGGGGGGAGCGGATTAGGAGGGGGGGAGGCAAGGCATCTCCTCTCCTGCTTTGCAGCAGCTAAATGTAACTGGGAGAGAGAGAGACAAGGGGAGGGAGGTCGACATCCCAGACCCAAACCGTCCAAAATCGAGGGTAACGTCGGCACGGAGAAGGGGCTTTTCCTTACCTGCTCCGGGTGAGACGCGCCGCTCAGGAGTAGGAGCCAGTGCCGGAATGCGTCAAGTCGCCTTGCAGCAGCATCCAAAAAAAACCAAACCAAAACAAAAACCGCAGCGGCAAACTTAACCCTCCTCCTCCTCTTGCGCCCCTCTTTATAACGCAGCGATCGCTTTACAGGGCTGCCTGCGAGACACTGAAATATTCATACACTGTCTTAGGCTGCACAAGGGCTAGTGGGTTTAATTAGTTTCTGCTGAGAACCGCAGTGGGGGGTGGGGGGTGTGCGTGGAAAAGAGCGCAAAGTACCTTTTCCAAAAGGCTTGAGTTAGTCAATAAAATCAAGGAGTCCTAGATAGCTGCTGCCTCTGCAGCTCTCTTGCCTTAGGACAGCTGGAAAAGGAGCCAGGCGCTGGGCAGCGGCGGCGGAGGAGATGTCAGAGCGCCGCAGCCCTGCAGCCGCATCCCCGGAGTCGGTCTTGGCTCGTCCCGGCAGCAGCAGCGGCGGAGGCAGGAGGAGGCAGGAGCAGGACGCGTGTGGCAGGAGCGAGAGTGCAGCTGAATGCATAAGAGCGAGGAGCAAACTCGAGCCATTTCTTGACGCTGCAGTATCAGCAGAAACCTGAGAGCTGTTTGGTGCAGCTCGGGGATCGGGAGGGCGGGGGAGCCGGGGCCGGGGCCGGCGGAGGAGGGAGGGATGCGCGCTGCCCCCAGGCCGGCCGCCCCCGCACGCTGCGCGCCGCGCCCCCGACGCAATGCGGGCGGCCCCGGGATGGGGCTGCGGGAGCCAGCGGGAGCCCGGGCAGCCGGCAGGGGAGGCACGGGCAGCCCGGACAGGTGCGCCGAGCAGCCGCGGCCCGACGCGCCGAGGGACGGCGGGACAGCGCTCGGTGCCCCCGCAGCAGCTGCGGCGGAGCGGGGCCGCACATCCCGCTCGGAGCCCGGCTGCGGCCCCGGAGGGCGGCGGCTGCCCCGCAGTGCCCGGTGCCCCCCGGCCCCGGCCCGCCTCGGTACCGAACGGGGCTGCGCCAGCGGAGCCTCCTGGACACATTGGTGGAGGCTAAATCCCGAGCGGAATGAGTGGAATTGGGAGGGTTAATCGTCAGGCAGGGACAGTGCCCTTTCATGCTGCTTTATCCCACCGAATTGGTTTAATTGATGAATCACATAACTTCGAGATGAAAAAGACCCATTATGTCATCAGCCGGCCTCCCCTGCCAGCACAGGATTGTTCCCCACAGTATATGATCACTTACATTATATAAAAGCCTGCTGCTCACTTTGTCAGGGCGGGAGCGGTGATCAAATACAACCCGTGCCTGTGTAATTTGAAGCACTCCAGAGCTAAGTAACACCAAGTCCATGTTTAACAGACCTGGTCTCATTAGCTTTCCACTGCATAATACATTATCTTCACTTAAGATCACCACCTTGGCAGTCCAAAAATACTTAACCACCTGACCTCCCTGGTGGTTTCTGTCTCTTCTTCCCTTCTCCTTATTTATGCCCATGTTTTGTTGTTTGGGGTGAGGTTTTTTGATGATGTTGTGGTTTATTTTTAATTTTTTTACTAGAGCAAAAACCATTCTTAAAATCCTCTACCCCTGGCAGTGCTGCAATCACAGCTAGTTAGCATGCTGCATTCACCAGCCCTATGGAAACATAAGTGCAAAGAAACAAACAGATTTCCTGTCTAGCCTGGTACAAGGGTGGGTTTTGCTGTTGTTTGGTTTGTTTTGGCTTTTTTTCCAGTATCACATATGCTGAAAGTTTTGTGAGAAACTTCTGGTGAAGTTGTGAGCAAGAGAAACGTCTGTTTCTGCCACTCCCGGGTAAAACAATCAAAACACTAAATAAAAAGAGAGAGTCTTCCTCCAGTGAAAAATAAAGCACAATTCTGTCTGAAGTTCAGCAGCTCAGCATCAGCACCCAGCTCTGGACCCTGCATCCCTGGACCCTATAAAAACTAAACTCCCCCCAAAAAAGAAAGGCTGTCCCATCACCTAAACAAACCAGGCTGTTTTTCAACCCCTTGAAAAACTCAGTGTCAGCCTTCGAGTCAACATCCTCTTATGGCAGTGAATTCCATGCCTGGGTGACGCGGCAGGCTGCAGAGAGCCCCGGGAGCTCTGCATTCAGTGTGCTTGGAGGAGCTCTGTGAGTGAGCGCTTCCCCGCCTCCAGCGCAGCACTTTGTCCCCCTGTCCCAGCCCAAAGGATGCTCAGGAGTGGGCTGAAAATGCAGATCTAACAAGCAGAGGCCCCAGCTCTTGGTGCTGCTCTGTCCTTGGCTTTCTGCAGGATTGCAGACAAGGATATACATTCTGCTTTTGCATCTGGAAAACAGGACTTAAAAGTGCTTCCTGTGCCTGTCACAGTTCCTTAGGCTGCTGGTTTCTGAGAGCTGCCTTAGCACAGCAGAACCGTAATCCTTGTTGGGAGCTATGTGCACACCAGGCAGAGAAATAAGAAAGAGGATTGATAGCAACCTTAGTTTTTCCATTACAGCTAAAGGACAAACTGGGATATTGCTCTCCCCCCTCCTCATTTTGAATAGCTTTGAACTGTGGAATTTCTCTTTGCAATCTAACTACCATTACTGACAGGCAGTCATGCTGGAAGGGAGGGATGTTTCTAAGTGGGCTAATAGCCATAGGGTCAATAAAATATTGTTAAAGTACACAGGCTAATGACCAGTGTAACTAGGGCTTGCAAGAAGGTCGTATGTTACACATTATAGTGCTAAGTAGCTTCAATTAAATGTTGAGGAATGGAAGAAGAGTCTAACTTGCTGCCAGATTCAAAGTCAGGCTGCTGCTGTTTCCTACCTTTTACATTACAGAAAATGGCCAGCAGCAGCTGAACTGGTCATCCCCCCCAAAGAGCCACACTGAGAACTCCTCTTGAGGAACAAAATTTTTCAAAGGGAAACTAAAAATTGCAAAAAAACTTTGCAGTTTTTTGTGGTGGGAAGTCTGGTGGTGCTGTTGTGATGAGAAAGAACAGCATTTTTCTCTTTTTTTGTTTTGTTTTTCATTTTAGAAAGAAAGAATTGAGTTGTTGAAGTTGTTGATTAAAAGTCCTTGTGTGTTGTGAGGATTACAAAAAAACTTGTATTGAATGAATGTGAATCTGAAACAGGATTAAAAAAATGAGCATTGCCTTTACACAGTGAAACAGTCTTTAAATACTGTCACTAGGGAACCTGGGAAATCCTGATTGAAATCAATGGATGCAGAAGCACAGTGGATTTCTGAGCATGGCCTCATTCCTGTGAGTGTCTTGAGAGGCCCCCAAAATTTCTTCACCTAAAAGAGACATTTTGTGTGATAAAAAACATTGTGAAATCCAATGGTAAAGGATGTCCTGGTTGCTTGAATACTATAGATCCTCACAGGCACTGTAGTCCCAATCCATCTAAGCATGGAAACCAACCTGGAAACATTATAGCTCCATTTTGAGCTGCCTAAAGCCACCAATGAGCTGTGCTGGTGTCACCACACATCTCATTTAATGGCCTTGGGAGGCAGAGGATAAAGTGAGATGTTATGGCCCCAATTTGCTGTGCAGAGGGTCTGTCAGTCATTCTGGTTCAGTACATGGAAAGAGTCAACAGATGGAACCAAAGGTGAGCTTGTGGTGTTGACAGTTGGGTTTTCTTCCTTGGAGGCAATAAAGAATCCTTTAAAAGCTTTTAATCTTTTAACACTGATTTATAAGCCTTGCTAATATCCTTCAGCATTATTTTGCATTTTTTGTGACTGGGATAATCAAATCTCATGCTTCATAGAATATTGATAGCTGATGGGAGATGACAATGACTTTGGTTCCCTCTTGTTATATAATTTCATTTTTTGTCCTGTTCCCTTTTAAAGCCTTAAATATGGGTCCTCTGTAATAAAAAAAGCCAAGGAGTGGAACCAGTCCTGTTTCTAAACAGAGGGA